TAAAGCGTATAGTTGTGTCTGACTTACTGTTTCACTCTCGCCATCCGCCATGCCGACATACCACTGGTTGCCATCCTCCACCTCCAGTCCTATTTCCATGTTGGTCCGCCATTTTTTTATTGTTAATTGTCTTTTATTGATTTTTATTTTGATAATGAGATGGGCTTCTCTCCAATTCATAATCGGACTAGAGAGGTGTTGTTCGGCCCAATGAGCCCAATTTTGGGTCTCATTTCAGTGATCCGAAATCATTCATATTTTAGAATTCGTCGAGTATATCATTCCAACAAAAAATAAGTCGATCGAATAATAGCAACCACGTGTTCAGATTAGTTTTCTATGAAAAAAAAATTAATGATGAGAAAATAAACAGTTCATACAAAAACTTGTCTGAACACATAGTTGTTGTTATCCGATTGACTTATTTTTTGCAGAGATTATATATCAACGAATCTTAAAATATAAACAGTTCAAACAGAGACTCAAAAGTGGGCTCATTGAGCCGAACAACACCTCTCCAGTCTAATTATAGATTGGAGAGAAGTCCAACTCCTTAATAATTATCTAATCCTTTTAAACTTGACCTAACCTAGCATTCGTTTATTTGAAGTCTGTCTATGCCTTTCTTCCGACTCTCCCGATTGAAAATTCTTGACTCCTTAACTGTTGACATTATCACCAATATTGTCTCTCTCGTAATGGAGGTCACCACCGACATTCTCATCCACTCAACCACTATTTATCTTTGCTGGATCTACCACTGTTTGCCACTAGAGCATCTTAACATCTTCGCCGTCCTTAGATTTATCACGTTAGTAGGCACAAATTGTTTGATGAAATGTTTAAATGAATTTTTTTTTTTTTAGTAGAAAATGAATGGACTTGGAAGTTGACCCACTTTGTCTTCCTTATTTTCAATAAATTGTTTATGTAGGTAGAGATTTGATAGGTATATAAATAATAGATTTTGTGTTAACACACTGAAATTTAAGTTTATTAACACAATAAAATTTTATTCTATTAAAGTAAATTTTTATTCATATAATATTATTATTTTATTACTTCCATAATTTTTTATTTAATATTTCTATTAATGGCAATTATAGTTACATCGACTATGGTAGTAATGATGGTGATAGCATTTCATCATTTAAATACTAAAATTAAACAGTAAAATTTTATCCTTATTTTTTAAATAGAATTTCATGATCAATATAAATCTTATTTGATAGATCTAAAAAATAATATTTCTATTATAATGGCACATGGTAGTCTTATCCAGGATCTAATTTAAAATTTTAAAATTATTTTTAATTTTTTTTTGTAAAATAATGTGATAATGATATTTAATCTTCTGTAATTAGACATCACATTAATGAAAAATTCTACTATACACACTCTTTGAAAGGGATATACGACCATATGTACCCTGAGTTATATCATTTTCTTTTTTAATTATGATCAATTTCCTTCTTTAGTTATGATAATGTTTTAGTTATGACTCGTAAGATCTTTGATTATGTCTCATTAGGCGTTTGGTTATGACTTTTTTTTTTTTTTTCTTCTCTCCCTTCTATCCCTCTCTAAAAACCAAGCCCATCTCTTTAAGGCACCATTACAATCCCAACTAAGGCATGAAATGAATGTTACGGTAAACCCCACGCCTTCCGACGAGATCACGCCGTTGCTGCTTTCTCTGGCAGCGACACTCGCAGCGCCGTTTTTGTAATGGCATCACTTCTATCGGTGAAGGTTGCTGACTGGTTGTCGACTCCTCCGGCTGGCTTCGGGTGACTATCCTTATGATTGCCTTAGGCTTGGTAAGAGCTAAAGGCCTTGTCGCATACGCTACATTTATAGATGGGCTCTAAATCCGACCAAGTCGATGGTTGTGGCGGCGGAAGAGGTGTGGAGTGGTTGCGATGTGAGACGGTGGAGGAGCATACTTGATCAATACTTTGCTCTCTCTTCGATGTTTAATCTCTCTCTCTCCTCTTATGGTTAGTGATTACAGCAAATAGCTGTCATGGTGGTGGGGTAGTCGTAGGTGTGTTCTCTGGTAGTGGAAGGATTTGGGTTTGGGTGTGTTCTTTGAAACTAACAGATAAAGACACAAAGAGGATTTGTGTCATAGTTCTAAATCGCGGTATCGGGCAACGTAACGGTATCGATCGTGGAGTATCGGTATTGGTAGTATTGACCGGTACGTATCGGGTATCGGGCGTCACGGCTGTGAAATTTCAAAAATCATTAGCAATCCATCTAAAACTCAATTTTATGCTCTTTTTTTTTACTCTTTTAGCCTTAATTTATCACATTTTAATCAAAATTTTGATATGTAGAATCACTTTTTTGACTCATTTTCAACTAAATGATATGTATTTATTCTAGTCTCAACCTTTTATTTGGCATATATGTTAAACTTTTAATATAAAATTGACGTGGAAATATTTTTTACTTATTTTCAACAATGAAATACTTCCACATGCACAACAAATTAATAAGAGAAAGAGGGACATGAAAATAAATCATTCGCTTCAGTCATAATCGCATACAAACAATCTACTACAAATCAACAACTCTAAAACTTAGTAATAAAAAGAATTACACGGTGGTACAGAAGAATCTCCATATCTCACATCACTTTGATCATCACTATGAATTGGTTGGCCTATTTCTCCATATTGATATTCATGGTAGTAGTTATTGAAAGTGCATTGATCATAAGTAGTGTTGTTGCTGCCACTGCTACTTGATTGTTGTTGTGTCATTGCAAGCCCCCCTGTACCATAATTGAAACCCTCTATATATGGCTATTGATGAGGTTGTTGAGGGTAGTTCCAATTTTCCATATAAGGTGGTTGATAGATGTGTGGTGGTGGTTAACTTGGAGGAGGGTAATAATATTTTAGTCTCAACCTTTTTATTTGGCATATATGTTAAACTTTTAATATAAAATTGATGTGGAAATATTTTTTTTACTTCTTTTCACATGCACAACAAATTAATAAGAGAAAGAGGGACATGAAAATAAATCATTCGCTTCAGTCATAATCGCATACAAACAATCTACTACAAATCAACAACTCTAAAACTTAGTAATAAAAAGAATTACGTGGTGGTATAGAAAAATCTCCATATCTCACATCACTTTGATCATCACTATGAATTGGTTGGCCTATTTCTCCATATTGATATTCCTGGTAGTAATTATTGAAAGTGCATTGATCATAAGTGGTGTTGTTGCTACCACTGCTACTTGATTGTTGTTGTGTCATTACAAGCCCCCCTGTACCATAATTGAAACCCTCTATATATGGCTATTGATGAGGTTGTTGAGGGTAGTTCCAATTTTCCATATAAGGTGGTTGATAGATGTGTGGTGGTGGTTAACTTGGAGGAGGGTAATAAGGATATGGTACTTGGCATATTGGTCGCCATTGTTGAGTTCTCCTTCCATCTTCTTGTCTAACTCCAAGATGTCCAAATTGATTTCTAAAGTCACGATGACCATAAATATCATCAATATGTCGTGAACGCCCAATTGATGCTTCTACATCAGGAGTAGAAATAGATGTCATCGTTGCTATGTAGAATCCCTGTTCCAATCATGATCAATATGATGAATACTGCGTCTACAACCATGTGCAGAACCTGCAGACTCCCATTGTCCACCACTACCACCACCTGTTGGAGGACGACTGCCATCACTATCATTTCCACTACCACTGGGTGGACTCAAACCGCGACCCTCACTAGAGCCACTTCAAGCAGGCCTTTCTCTTTGATGGTGTTGAGATACTTGGCTACTAGTTGCATGATCTCCCTCATTATCATCATCATCATCATCAACAATCAACCAACCTGAGTTATCTTCATCATCCAAGACTGCATGTTCTCTCTCTTGAAGCCATAGAGTTAATAGATCATCTTCTTCAAATATATAGTCAAGATTGATGGGGTTAAAAGATTCCTCTCTATCATCTTGGCTTTTTTATGTTGCATGTCTGATCATTAGCCTCATATTGTAATACACATAAACAAGTTTATTTAATTTTTTATACTTCAACCGTTTCCTTGTCTTTGTATTTATCAGGCTAAATGTACTCCAATTGCGCTCACAATTAGAAGAAGACGTGGTTTGGCTCAATACTCTCACAGCCACTTTTTGGAGTGCCGGAGCCGATGTACCATAATGGATCCACCATTCAGCTATATACAAATCAATCAAATATTAGTGATTATGTTATAATTTGATATAGAAGTGTTGACAATGTAACAATAATATGTAATTAAAATAGTTAATAGTTCATTGAGTATATAATAATTACCAGGATTTGTTGCTTTTACTGCTCTTTGTGCTAACACAGTACCAAAAGAATCTTCTTTATTACAAAATAAAGAGATCTGCAATGAGCAAAAGGCAATAAGCAGTTTTACAAACACAATTCACAAGTCAAATAATAAGTTATCAATTTAACTAATATTAAATAATGACTAACTTAGTTTATCGCTTGTATTTGCTCGTTTATATCTGGTAGAAGTCTCGAAATCACATTTCTAACTCCACTCATCACTTCTCGATGATTAGAAAGGTGCTCCACATATTGGAATATGAGATTTAAAAAATAACCTACGTTAAAATATAAAATAATAATAAAAGTGAGACAAGGAACACATAATTTATAATTTAAATAAATAAAAAATTACTTACCAGCAGCATGCAAGTCTGTGTGTAGTTGGAAAGCCCATCGATTATCAATAATCTTCCAATAATCTACATAATAGCGACAATTTTGTTTGATGGCCAACTTTTCTCTATCCATGGCTTTATATATAAAACCCATTGTGGGCTTTTCATCCCCATCTACAAGTCTAAGCACCTTTAGAAGTGGTTCTTGAACTTTTAATACGTCTGCTGCCTTGGTCCAAAAATCTTTACTTTGTATAATTTTTTTCGCTTCTTTTGCATCATTCTTTTTGGACCATTTGCTGTGCTTTCACTCTTGAGAATGAAACATATCCTGTAAAGCAGTCTTATGTTTAACAATGCTTTCCAAAGTAATGAAATTGGTGGCAAAGCGTGTGATGACAGGACGTAACAACTCTCTATCTCCTGTGAATCTCTTCATGAAATCAACGACCCAATTGGAGTTGTAAATAAATCGTGTGATTACTTTTGCACAATCCAACACCTTTGCTACACTTTTTTTCTTTCCAATATCCTCTAACATAAGATCAATACAATGAGCTGCACATCCTGTCCAATACAGATTCTCCCTTTTTTGCATGAGTTTGTAACCAGCAGCCTTTATCGCAGCTTCGTTATCAGTTACGATTTGCACAACATATTCTTCTCCAATTTCATCCACTACCTTGTCCATGAGGCCCAAGTAATAATCAGCTATCCTACTGGGTACATCAGTTACATCCACAAACTTTTGAAAAATTGTTCCACGGTTGCTATACACAAGAAAATTAACAATGTGCTTTCTTGTGGGCCCAGACCATCCATCACACATAATTGTAGCACCTCTCTCAGCCCAACTAGAATTATGAGATTTTATCCAATTTTGTAAAGCTTCATACTCCATTGGTAAATACACTTCAGTTACCTGTTTAATAATAAATAACAAACAAAAACTATTAACAAGCATCTTAATAATTTATTTATATTTAAACATAGATTGAGTTTTTTCAAACTTTAAGTTAGAGGCTTACTTCATAAGAAGTAGGTAGCTTTGTTCCTTTCCAACCTCTCTTGCAATATCCAACATTGGTTCTAGCCATTTAGAATTAACAACATTAGTAGGCACTGGAGTGAACAATACAAACTGGCTTACTGCTCTTCCTAATTTTTTCTTTGCTTCTTTCAAGAATCTAGAGGAGAGTTTGGGTTGTTTGTTGCCTTTGGTCCTATGAAGATCCACATCTATGTCTAATAATTGAACTTCTGAAGAGGATGTATCAATTCATTTCCTACCTGTACTAGCCTCACGAACAGTATGACTTCGCCGAGCAAAACCAGGAGGAGGTGCAACCTCAATATCACTAGCCCTATTTTGTCGGGTCATAACCATTTCTAAGTCCTCCTCATCATTTTCATCATCATCACACTGACTGGCTCTAATTTGTTCTGTCAATTCCTCATTCATCTTCTTTTTGTCAAGTTTTTTGCCCTTATAATTATTCAAATGATCCATCATTAGTGTTCGAACTTCACCACTGACATTAGCATAAGGTGCGACTTGACCTTTCATATGGGCCAAATGTTGCTTCAACCTAGTTATACCACCATTTAGCTCTTTTCCACAAAATTTACACCTAATTTTATGCCTATTATTTTCTAGTGGAATTCCAAATTTCCAACCAATATCATCACTTGGAAGTTTTCCACTAGAACCACCTCCGTACGCCATTATAACTTTCAATTATCTACAATAACAGTTTTCAATTAACAAATATTGCAATTCTAATTTAGTTAGTAATAATAATACATTTAAAATAAAAATAAAAAATCTAAAATATTAAACATCTTTACTTAACAATTAAACCTCTTTAAAAAAATCTGACAGATTAAACCTCTATAAAAAAAAATCTGATACAAAAATAATCTGAAATAAAAAGATTTGACAGATTAAAAAATCTAAAATAATAAAAAAAATTTGAAATAAAAAATCTGACAGATTAAATCTCTTTAAATAATATATATAAAAAATATATATATTGAGCATATGTGCATTTAAAATATATATAAAACCTTATTAAATAGTCTTTATTTCTTTCTTACGATAATGTGTGTATATATATATATATAAAATATTATGAGAGAACAAACCTGCTCCTGAGTTATAAAATTATGAGTTCTATTCAACTTCTGAACTTACGTGCATTTAAAATTATGTAAAAAATTGCTCCTTAGTTCTATTCAACCTCAATAATATATATAAAAAATTATGTGCATTTAAAAAAATAACCACAGAAAAAAAAAACAATAAAACAAAAACAAATTATAAACAAACCGAACAGAACTTAAAAAGCAAAACCATGACTTCTTCAGCCAAAAGAAAAAAAAAGCACATCACATATACAAACAGAGCATGAGAGAACAAACCTTCAACGAAGAAGCTTGAAATCGATGATGGGTTTGGGTTCGATTCGATGCTTCTCCCTGCAACACTTTACAAGATCGATACCCCTGGGAGATGGATTTGGGTTTGATTGAGGAGTTGGGTTTGTTCCGATTGAGGGTTTTTCTTCAGAGGTTGTAACACATTTATGGTGTCTGTGAGTTTGTTTGTGTATTATTGCTTGAAGAAGACAAAATTTGAAGTAAAATGGTTGAGTCCGTGAGTCTGTTCCTTCCTTTTCTGCTTTTGCTTTTATTTTTGCAGGTACTTTGGTCCATTTTTTTTCTTTTGCAGGTGCTTTTCTAATTATTTTTTGCTTTTCCAGGTGCTTTGCTTTGCTTTTCTCAATTATTTTTGCAGGTGTTTTGCTCGTTTTTCAGCCGTATCGGACTGTATCAGAAACAAATCACTTACGTATCGGATTCAAGCCGATATGTATCGGGAATTGGCCGCTACGGACGCGAAATTCATTCTCGCCGATATACTAGTGAGTATCCGACTCGGAACTCCCATTTTCCGGTACGAATTGGCCGGTACAGCACGTACCGGCCGATATTTAGAACCTTGATTTGTGTGTGTTCTCTAAAACCAACAAATAAAGAAAATAGATTTCAATTTGTATAGATAAAATAGGCTTAAATTTTAACAAATAATAAAAAAAATAGGCTTAGTGAATTTCAACAAATAGGATTCCAACAAATAATTTCAACAGATAGATATTTTGAAGAGATAATTTCAGTAGATAGCTTTTTTGAATGGATAATTTGAAGAGATAGATTTTTTGAACAATTTGCACCCAAAAACAAAATGGCAAAATTGAAAAGACAATGTCTTCAAAACAACAAAATGTATTCCTCGCTACAATATTTTACAAAGTATATACTTCTCACCAAGAAAAATTATTCACTGTACCCAATACCTCAAGTCATCCTTGGATTGGACTTATGGCCAATTTTCTCAAATCTATATATTATATAAGGAAAAAAGGGTTTCTAATCCAGAAATCTTGTGAGAGTTCCAATATCCTAATATTAATTTTCTAATTTTTTGATTTAAAAAAGAAAATAATCTCAGTATTTATTGAGTTCTCCCAACTCACAAGCCTTTTTGACTTATCTTATAGTTATTGCATCACCTTTTTCAACTTCTTCCATGTACTATGGTTAGTGATGGAATTGTTAAATTATTTTTATAAATTTTTTTTTAAAAAAATTGTATATTAAAAAATATCTAAAACAAATATATATATATATATATATATATAAGGAAAATAAGTTTTCGGTGATACTTTTAAAAAATGATTACAATTTCATGTTAAAAATTATAATTTTAATAATTAACAGGGTAAAATCTATTTTACCTTATTGTAGTATTGTCTTGGAGTATTTAACCTCCCTTACATTTGAAAATAGCTAAAACCTCTCTTACATTTTAGACTAAACAGTAATACTAACGTTGTTAATAATAAATGTAAAATGATGTTAATGCCCATTTACCTTCTTTATTTTCATTCTCTCTGCTATTACAATTCCGGTTTTGACCCGTTATCTATTGTATTCTAGATTCGAGTTGGTATGATTTAGAATAGTTATTCATATCTTGCTTCCCTTATTTCTCCTATATTTTGGTTATTGGGTTGTAGTTGTACGTTCGAAACAGGTTGGTTGCGTGTTTTTTTCAAACCTTTGTTGTCCAGATTTTGGTTGCTCTGTTCCAGCGAGAATTCTTGCGCTCGAGCGGGCTTCACAAATTTTGCTCCTCCGCTCGAGAGGCCATTCTTGCACTCGAGTGGGAGTCATCAACTTTAATTATTTTTGCAGTTCTGTAAATACTAAGAGAGTGCATTGGACACTCGAGCATCCATTTTCACGCTCGAGCAGGGTCCTTTATCTGCAAAACTTTTGGAAATGTGTATTCTACGCTCGAGTTTCGCTTCTTGCACTCGAGCGGACGTTTGTGTTTGACACTCGAGCATCACTTTCCACGCTCGAGCGGACTGCGTGTATATCAGTACGTAAAGATAACATTTTGAATCACTTTTTTTTCTCTCTCTCTCTCTAAAACTTTCCAAAAACCTAGATCTATACATTCTCTCTCTAAAACTCACATTCTCTCTAAGATTTCATCTAGATCCGTT